CTCTCCAAGCCCCCATTATCGTCTTCTATGTTTACTGATTCTTGTATTGAAGGAATAGAGCTGCTAGGATTTGCACCACCTTTTATTTTTTACTTCTTAGCCTGAGAATCCTCCATCTATTTTGGTTGATACCGTAACTCATTCCAACAATGTTCAAATGAAAAAGAGCATTTATGAAGTTCCTTGTACACTTTTTTTGCATCACGGACCTGAAAATTGTACAATAATACTATATATCATAAAATAAAATGCATTATTTTCACACTTGTAATTAAAATACACTCATACATTGTCTTTCTCAGTCAGACCACTTTGATTTCAATTTAGTCAAAGCAGTCACAAAATTTATTGGTGATTAGTTGAATTGTCGACCAACGATACATCAAAGAAATTTGATTGCGATTACAATCTGACTGGGGTTTGTATTCGTTGAAGTAATCTCAAACCTTTTGCCAATACCTCTTAGATTTTTGCTCATTCCCATGCACGGCATTCACGCTAATATTAAGTCAACTCGAGATTAAAATTAAGTCCTCCTTAACTGTAAAGTTGCCGCCTCGAAAATTTTTGATGGTGGATTCTATTTGAGGTGATATTGGTGAAGGATAACTTATTTGGTTTACTGATTGAGTGTTAAACTCATCTACGTTTGTTCCATCGTTTAGTACAGAAATGGAGCAAAAATGGAGGAAGGAAGACAGGTTGAACGGGAGAGTCATTGTCTAATTTCCCTCTTATTCCTATTTGTTGACTTCATATCATTTTGTTGGCAAGGACTTTTGTTCCAATAAATATGGGTACGATTACGGTTCTAATAGAATAGCATTCACCATAACATGGATTCGCCTAAACAAAACACCCCATGGTAACTGTGTTAACCAAACACAACAACAATTTCCGCCCTCTACTCCAACGATTGGGCCATTATCGAGTGCAACGATGAAAATTATAAGAAAGGAGAAGGAGAAGAAATCGCATCCTCCGCCTAGCAATAGGTTTTACAATCCAACAATGCAGTAGTGAGCAAAGGACTCGATCAAAAAGATCTGGCAGTATGAAGAGAAATCTGAGTTTTTGTTGGCCCTTCATATGCAACTCTGTAACTTTAACCACATTAGCACTCTTCAACAAGATCTTCTATTTACCTCCCACCAGGAAAAAAAAAAAAAGAAAGGAAAATTTTGAGGATTTTGTACTCTCAAAGGCACATAAGCTTACAACAAGACAAAGAACTCAATTCAATATCTTTTGCATACAATTATATTTTTTATTGAAATAAAACTGAAAAAAACAAAGAAATGGTCAAACTGTAATAGAGATGATATCTTCTACCTTAATTGGGATAATTTAGTTATTTAATAGATTCGGTTAATTCTTCAATATAATATTTCAAACTAGAGATGTCTAAATGATACATATTTATAAATTTTAGGGGATCTGAGTATAATTTATTAATGAATATACTTAACGTACATTAACAACATAGACCTAAGTGTTATGCGAATATAAATTTTAGGAAATTTATATAAAATATTTCAAATGTCAAGGAATTTGTGTATAGTATTTCAAATGTCAGGAAATTTAAGTAATTAAGTGATAAACTTCAAGAGAGTTTGAGTGTAAATTTCCTATCATAATTTATACCTTAAGTATACACTAAATTTTTATTTAGTCCTTGAAATTTTAATTGCATCAATCAAATCCTAAGACTTTTAATCGAGTTTCAATTTATTTCTTACATTAAAATTCACTAAATTATTATGAAGGAATGACCTTTCGTGATCAATATATGATTTGGATAAAATGGTATATTTGTCTGATGAATTTTTTTTTTCATGTAGGTTGGAAAATCTTATTATATTTCTTTTGACTTTGAGAGAGATGAATATTTTTTTTTTTCATGTAGGCAAGAAAATCTTATTATAGTTCTTCTGATTTTGAGAAAAGGGAGATAACAAATCGAAAAAGAAAGCTAAAGTGAGAATCAGATAAATACTTTAAGACATAAGTAGAAAGAAAAACGTATTTGAGACAATTTTTCTCGACAAATCTTGTGATGTCCTTTTATTCAAACTAATTAATAGATAAAAGGCAAAATTATTTTATGGGTAAATTACATATAAAAATCTGGAGGTTTGTCATAGATGAACCTCCTCAAGTATAAAATATAACACCACCACTCCCTAAAGTTTGACATGTTGTAACATATAGCCCCTTAGAGCATTTCCAATCACACTCAACAAAATAACTACTCAAAATATATTTAAATATTAAATTCTCTACTTTAGCCAGCTATTTTTTAAAATTTATTTCAACTATGCTATCTATTTTAGCTAATTACTTCAATTAACTTTAAATAAATTTTAATAATATAATTCAAAAATATTACATGGCGTAACACGTGAGCGCCATAATGATGACGTGTCATGCCATATCATCAAATTTTTAAATTTCAAAATTTACAACGGTCATATTTTCAACGTCCATATTTACCAATGGTCATATTTTAACGGTCAAATTTACAATGATCATACAATATTCAAATGGTACCCATGCATACATTGTAATAATTTTATTTGAGTTATAATAGCACAATAAAATATCACTAAGACACTGCATAATCATTGGTTAGAAGCTTTAACATAGAGGCAAACATAACATATCCAAGAGTCAGACAAATACTAAAATAACCCATTTGACAAGATATCCTGCTAACATAATTACTAATTGTTTCAAGACCGCCCAAAAGGATAACCCAGAAATGCTAACCTAGAAAATCTCCAAAGAAACAGTGGATGAAATCAAACTAATTGTACAGTACTCAACATAACACATTCACAAAATGAACAGGTTGTTCATAAAATATCAGTAGTTTGATGTTAGATTTTCTTTCTCATGATTTTCATCTAAAGGCGCTTAAAATATTTAGTTTGAATCGGAGGCATGACACCCATGTCCATCAAAATTATTTTCTATTCCTCTTTCATTTGCTTGAGGTGTATCTACTCTTTATCATAAGCTAATATCTCTTGTTCAACGACCAAACATTTTTTCATGAATTTGACTTTCTTCTCCACCAACATCTTTTTCTCCTCCTTTATTTCTTCAAACAGTTTCACAAAATAGGTTGAACTTGAATTTTGACTTTCTTGCTCGCTCTTTCACCTTCTAGTTGGCCTCTCCAAGCCCCCATTATCGTCTTCTATGTTTACTGATTCTTGTATTGAAGGAATAGAGCTGCTAGGATTTGCACCACCTTTTATTTTTTACTTCTTAGCCTGAGAATCCTCCATCTATTTTGGTTGATACCGTAACTCATTCCAACAATGTTCAAATGAAAAAGAGCATTTATGAAGTTCCTTGTACACTTTTTTTGCATCACGGACCTGAAAATTGTACAATAATACTATATATCATAAAATAAAATGCATTATTTTCACACTTGTAATTAAAATACACTCATACATTGTCTTTCTCAGTCAGACCACTTTGATTTCAATTTAGTCAAAGCAGTCACAAAATTTATTGGTGATTAGTTGAATTGTCGACCAACGATACATCAAAGAAATTTGATTGCGATTACAATCTGACTGGGGTTTGTATTCGTTGAAGTAATCTCAAACCTTTTGCCAATACCTCTTAGATTTTTGCTCATTCCCATGCACGGCATTCACGCTAATATTAAGTCAACTCGAGATTAAAATTAAGTCCTCCTTAACTGTAAAGTTGCCGCCTCGAAAATTTTTGATGGTGGATTCTATTTGAGGTGATATTGGTGAAGGATAACTTATTTGGTTTACTGATTGAGTGTTAAACTCATCTACGTTTGTTCCATCGTTTAGTACAGAAATGGAGCAAAAATGGAGGAAGGAAGACAGGTTGAACGGGAGAGTGATTAGCGAGCAATTAGCCTCACTAGATTTGACGAGCAATTTGGCTTCCTAGATTTTGACGAGGTGAATAGCTAAGGCGTTGGAGCACCATATATGAAATTTTGCTCGCCAAAATGGCTAAAAGGTATGCACTGGCGAGGGAGTTGGAGATGTTGTTAGGGGGCGTTGGAGATGCTCTTAGGTAGTTATCCACTAGTAGAATGGAATAAAATAGGAGTGGGACGCAGAAATTCCTTGTTTGGAAAGCCATTTTTGAGGTTGGATATCAATTTCGGGTCAACGCTTAACCCGGTTGCTATAGTACCATTTAACTAGGCCTATCAAAGTCCAACACGACACGATTAACCGACACGAATTAAACGGATTTGGGGTGAGACCTTCATGAATTTGGGTAATAAATAGGTTAACCCATTTAACACGTTTAATAAACGGGTCGTGTTTAGGTGAGTCTTGTCAATTCGTTTATCATCTGTTTAAATAAAATTAATATAATAATAAATTAATAATTATTTTAAAAAATTAGACAATTTTTTTTTTAATGACATCCATAGAAAATATATATATATATATATATAGCATTTTAATACAAAATGTTTAAGTATCATAAAAAAGAAAATAATATTATGGTAAAGAAATAAGGAAAGAAAAACAAGCAGCCGTCTTATTCCCACATCGGTAGCTAACGGCAAGTGAAATGAAAACATCATCTATAACTATCAAAATTATCCCACATCAGGAGTTTATGGAAAAGTTGAATGGAATGGAGCTTATAAATGGCATTATAGGTTTTTTCAAGTGATAGTTGCAAGTTTTTTTTAATTTAGTGATGGTTACAAAAAAATATAATAATAAATTAAAAAAAATATAATAATAAATTAAAATTAAATTGGTATTAAGTCTGTATTGTTGTCTGCTTATTAGACGAAAGTTAATTGTTTATTAGACGTTGAAGTTTTTTATCCGTTAATTAAATAGATTGTTTCACTCACTATGGCTATCTTAATTGACACATAACTGTTTAACCAGATAAATTTGACATCCACCCTTCAACCCCCAATATGCCGGTCACACTTAACCACCACTCTCTCCCCGTTACAAACCCAAGCAATGGGTTACCAACAGCATAGACGTCTTTGCCCCTCTCTTTCTCCACCCACTCACAGCGACGAATCCCTCGGCAAGCACCTCCCACACAGACATATCGGCAAGCACCAGAAACATCTCGGCGGTCGCGGAAACGCTGGAGGTATAGACCACCACCGAATCCTCTTCGACAAGTACCATCCTGGTTACTTCGGAAAGGTCGGTATGAGGTACTTCCACAAGCTCCGCAACAAGTTCTTCTGCCCCACCGTCAACATCGACAAGCTCTAGTTGATGGTTCCTCAGGACAAGGCCAAAGGGTGTCTTGCCCAGTGATCAGCCGGTGGTTGTCAAGTCTAAGCTCATTTCCAAGATTGCTGAGAAGAAAATTAAGGAGGCTGGTGGTGCTGTGGTCCTCACCGCGTAGGTCTGGTTTATTGTTATTCGATTTTGTCTGTTAGGGTTTTGAAGGTTTACTGTGTTTTGAAATGCTTTGGAGATGTTATACTTTCGCTTAGATCTGTCTATTTCCTAAATTTGTTGATCTATTAATGGGAAATGCGGTGATATTATCAGTTACCTATATTTGTTTGTGTGCTATTGTTGTTTATGGCAAAGCAATCCACATAAATTGAATCAAAAATTAGCATCCCAAAATTACTGGAACCTAACCACCAAATCAACAAAAAATAAATTCGTATTGATATGTTTCTGTGGTGGATTTAGTTATACTTGATGCTTCTGCTTTGTGTCTGAAATAAGGGTTATGGTGGATGAGAGTAAGTATGGAGGGAACAATGTAGATATATGTTTTTTCTGTTTTCATGTTTGGTTTGGATGTATTTATGTTTGTTTGAACATTCTTTCTGGTAACGTAGTTATACAAGTGGGTAAGAAGAGTGGGATAGGGCCTAATTACTGAACCAGTGTTGGGATTTAACATGTCTTAAACTTACAAACAAACACATGCAATCGCAGAACAAACTAAGAACATAAAATAATAAGAAACAAGAAAGAACAAGACACAAAAATTTTATGTGATTCAGCAATTTACCTACGTCCATGAAGCTGTATAAATTTCACTATTGAGAGAGTGGAATACAGAGAACGACTTTTTGTTACAATCAAAATCCTAAACCCTAAATTCACACAATATTATTCAGGGTCGGATCATCATCCAGATCAACATACAAACTAGACTCTACAAAAAATCCAACAACCAGCTCTACAGTTCATGTTTGAATGGCCTTTCGGAACTAGAACTTGTTTGCAATGCATTTGTTTGTTGATTGTCCTTTTGCTTAGGCCATTTGGGATAGGCTAGCTGCGCTGATGTGTTAAAAGGAGGTCTCGAAATCAAGCATTTGTTGTTGCATTGGTTTTTTTCCCAGTCAAAGTCTTGAAGACTGCTTTTATATTTTCTCTTATTGTTTTAAGGCAAGGTTGTTTGTTTTTCTTCCATTGTAATTAATTTTTAAGAAACAAAATAAAGTGTTGATTTATTTGAAAAAAAATATCAAAAAAATATATTAACTTTCCTAAAAAATAAAAATTATTATTTTATTTTTATATATTTTATGTATATGTAAAAAATGTATAATTTTATTAGGATACACTAATCCAAACATATAATATAATTGAAATGGATAGAGTCATCGATAGAATGATAAACTACTATAAAATTATTTGTGTAATTTATGGGGCCTACTGAATTACACATTTGTTTTCCAAACAAATATTAGGATTGGATATATTCTAAAGTTAGAGTATTAAGGTGGATGAGTTAGGATATATAAAAAAAAAAAAACTTATCATATCCAATCCCATTATCCCAAACACACCCTTAGAACTTGTTTGGATCAATTTTCGGGAGGAGTAATGCAAGATAGACTTATAAATTAGACTTAATAATCTCAACCATTGAATAGGTATTGAGTCCCAATAAATGCTGGAACTCACAGTAAAATCAATGGTTGAAATTATCAAGTCTAGTTTTTAATTTTAATTTTTTAAATTTATAACATTAACTCTTTCGGGAGAGGTTTGGATTGGTTTCTCTAAATACTTTTAAACTCAAACCTCTCTTTACAAAGATGAGATTCAACATTCATTCTAATATATACGCATGTTTGGTATGCAATATATACACATATGGAACCCAAGGATATATTATAATTATTAACAATTATTTGTCCTGTAAATAATTAGTTTATCCTTGATTAATTCAATTCATACTCATGTTAAATGATATAATTATCTTTTGGATCCTTAACCCTTACCCATATTTCCAAACTCACCCTCCCTTAGGTTTTATGAAACTCATGATCATGAATTTAATTTTCGGGTCAGCTATGAGCCGAATTTGAAAACACGAGACTGAATTTTTCATACAAATATGAGATTTGGGAGAGTTTTGAACTTTTTTTCCCAAATCCATCTTACAAAGCCCCCCTATACCCCCTTGTCATGTAGCTCCTTAGTGTTAAAGTCCATTCGAATCACCTTTAAATCTCAATAATGTCAGCATATTCTTCTAACAAAATTCCTAAATTACTCTTGAATTATCCATCATTAATTTAATAGATGTCTACAAAACCCAAATTTTTTGAGTTCCCAGCAACATCTCACATAGTTCAAAACTCTTCACAAGATAAGAAATATCATTAAATAACTAAAAGACTATCAATGGTTCTACTGATTGACTTGTTTAATTATGATTGTTAAATCTGATGAGGCGTGTCTAAAATACCCTTATTCAATTTTCTGTTTTCCTGATAAAGTCAATAAAACAATCTGTATTTAATTGTTTATTTACATAATTCAAATCATTCAAATTACAATAGACTTCTCCAGGAGTGTTAGCTAACAAATTTTTTATGTACTGTCAAGGGCCAACGACCAAGAAGTAATGTAATGTCAAGGGCTCAGAAAAATTGCAAACTTAAAAAGGTTTGGTTGCTAAAAAAAATCGGTACAGAACAAGTCTTACAAGAAGTAACCTGACATTAGTCCAACGAAAGCAGTAAATATAAAAATTTATTGCTATGAATTGTAAATAGTTCCGGTCCAAAAATAAAATTGTAAATAACTTTAATCAATCTCATTCATTGTAAAAGTTTATAATTAATATTTTTTGTTGTTTTTGATTTTATACAATGTGTTTAACGATTTTTGGCCTTTTTTCGGTTAATTATCTAAATATCAAACGATGTAATTTAGTATAAATGTGTAAAAAAAAATTAAAATTTGTTATGTGTCAAGTGCCCACTCAATAATAATTTTTTAGCTATGCCCCTGGTGCTATCTCCATCAGTCAGGCATGATGTTACTACCAACGATGGATCCCATCAATCATTTATCTCTCATTTTTCGGGTCCTGGACTTTGCGTGCCATACCTCACCCATTACAAGCATTTTTGGGGTCATGCCTTGCTTTGGCGTGCCAAGGTTAGGAGGCATAAGGGTTGCCGGTCAAACACCCCTTGTAATAGCGTTATGAGCAATTTCTCAAAGGACAATAAGAGACATCATCTGAATCGATTAGGGACATAGTTCATGCATACCACTTGAAACTTTTGTTGAACATCTTAGCAACCAAACAAAGTACATGACCAAGTTTTTAGGAATCCATCTTACACAACGGGAATATTTAGCCAAGCACATACATACCATATATTAAATATAATACAAACATTTTGTCTATACTGGTTCTTAATAAAATGGAAAGAACAAATTTTTATTAATTAATAAAATGAGTTTCATTATAAAAAGTAAACTTTTAGTGTACTATTCTATCATTTTTGTCATTTATCTTATTAACAACTTTGAAGCTAACCACACAATCAGCACTTCGGGATAGAGTATAGGAAGAAAAGAGAAACAAGAGAGGAGAACAAGTAGCAACGATGACTACAACACTTCACTTTCGAAATATACTTTGCATGCCTTACCCCACTCATTACAAGCATTTTTTGGGTCGTGCCTTGCTTTGGCATGCCAAGGTTAGGGAGCATAAGGGTTGCCAGCCAAGCACCCCTTTATAATAGCATTATGTGTAATTTTTCAAGGGAGAGAGAGAAAAGGGGGTGTGGCAATGTGTTATGTATAGAGAAAGAAAGAATTGGTGTGAGTGTATATCTATATTTGTATTTACATTACTAATAAAGTTGTGTAACATAAAAAAAATTTTGATTTACTATTTTATTCTTATAAAAAATTTTAAATACTACATTCATAATCCATCACCTTATCTTTATCTGTCGCATATCCAACCTACCTCAAACCAAAAAAACCACCACCATAACCACTATCCTAACCAAAATCGAACATGTTTCGTTGCCATCGAAATCACTCGAGAAAGTCATGTCGAATTCACACAAAAAAAAATCAAAATCAACCATCAAAATTGTAAGAAGAACCAAAATCGAAAATCAGAATCGAGTTAGAAATCAAAATAGAAATCCTCGCCAAAAAACCCCACTTGAATCTGAATTTCGTGGGGCTAATAACGATTGGCAGGGGAGGTTGACGACAAGGTGATCTAAGGCCTGCTCTCATTATGGAGAGTGGAGGTGAAGTGGTGGTGGTAGAGGTGGAGGTCGCTTGGTGGTGGTGGTTATTAGAGAGAGAGAGGGCGAGCGTGAGTGTGTGTGTGCGCGCGTGCTCGCGCATATGTGAGTGAGTGAGTGAAAACAAAGAACAGTGTGAGCAATGTTTACAGGATAAGAGTAAACCTTAGGATGATTTAATGGTTGAACTTGACATTTGACAACTTAGAAGTTACAAGTTTAATTCTTGTCCATATTCTCTAAGGATTAACCCTTGTCCCTTTAGAAGCATGCTTTAATACAGTTCAAGTCACATTAGCCCGCCGTTAAGCTGAAGGGAGTAGTCGGCAAAGTCTAGACATCCTGTACCGTAGCAAAAAAAAAAAAAAGGTAGAAATAATTATTGAATATAATGGTTACACCATATCAAGAATGTCAAGTGATGTAACTGTCCAATAAGAAAGCTCAAACATGGATAAGGTGGACCTCATTACCCTACATGAAAGTGCTTATATATTACATGGGTGATTATTTAATTTTATGGGCTCACTTACCAACTTGTTGATTTATTAATAGACGATTATACCATGTAATATTACTGATGTGTTATAATTGATACATTAATATTTTCACGAAAGGGAAATGGAATGGTGGAGATGGCATGGGGGTGGGAGAAGGTGGTGCACCGTCGCCGGGGGTGGGGGGGAGGCGGAAGACTATGAGAATTAAGAGTAGTGGATAAAGAAAGGGAGGACAAGCTGCGAATGGGAAGTTGGTGGAGAGAGAGAAATACATCGATACGTATATACAATCATTATCCATATCATATTACATGTTATAATTTACATTATTAATAATAATATTATTATTATTTGCTTAGACTATGACTTAACCACCCCTATAAAGGTCATAATCAATAATTTTAACATCAGTTAGTGTGAGGGACTAAATTGATTCAAATGTAAATTTTAAGGATTAAGGATTAAATTGATAAAATTAAAATTTTAGGTACTAAAGTTCAATTAGTGGTAAACTTTAGAAACCATTTGTGCAATTTATTCACATTTTTACTAATGCAGCATTTTCTTTCTACAAAATGTTATGCATACAAAAAATTTTACCAAATGAGTTATTAGCTAGCTAAATATCAATCTTGGACCCATCAAATACCGATCAAAATATCCTTTTTAGACAAACCACAACTTTTACCTTGTGTATATTATTCAACAAGAAAAATAAATCTATTAACCCAACATGTTTATTTTTTTTTTTTTGCTTTTCGTTTATGGTTATCAAATATTTTCAACAAAAACAAATTGAACAATAAACTCAAAACCTGTGTCCCTACAAGTGTTCCAATACTTGTGTGTAAGAGCCTATGATTCCCATCAAGAAGCCCATAACTACAATTCCACATATCATCATTAATTTCAGTCGAAGTTCCTGATAATTTCCATAAATCTTCAAATAGCACAGACATGGAAGCAAAGTCGAGTTTTGTGACACTCAGAAGTGCTCCAATAAATGACATGAGGTACCCAAAATAGAGGACGACTAGGGCTACAACGACGTTGCTAGTCACCAACGTGGTGTTGATCACAAAGCTCCACCATCTTTGTAGCAAGATTGTTATGTGCACATTTTAATATATTTTTTTATGTAGTATATTTGAGGTAATTATTAGGGAGTTATTTTAGTAACTGAATTAATGATAGAGTATTTTGTGGGTAATTTTCTAGGTGGTTACTAAGATAGTTGAGTCGTGGATTAGGTTAGTTATTAAGGTTGTTTTTATTATATATATTGGGTTTAAAAGTCTTTCTATTAATGAAATAGATATGTTGAATATTGTATTAATCTTTCTTCTGAAGTTTTGGAGATAGATTCTTTTCGAATTGCGCCACTAGAGGTTTTTATCACCTCGAAGCGGGTTTTCTTTTCCGATTTTTTTTTCTAGTTTTATTTATATTTTTTTTAAAAATGTGCATGTAACAATTGATATTAGATCTAGGCATAGAAGACCAAGTTGATTGACTTGAAGCAAAAGTTCACTCATTAATTATCGAACAATTGAAGATGATGAAAAAGATGCACGAATTATTTTTCACTATGAATTCTCGCTTCGATCAATTAGAGGGTAACGGATCAGCCCTTCACAATTATGGAGATAGAAACAAAGACCACTCAGATTCTGCTTCAATTGGATCAACTCATCCCAACTCCATAACCCAAAAAATTCCAAAGTTGGATTTTCCACCATGCAATGGTAAGAAAAGTCCCGCCACATTGATTTGTCAAGCCAGGCAAATGCTTCATTTGATCATCCATCAAATAATCATACAATAAAATGGTCTGCTGATGAGAAGTTGAAGAAGTCCTCCACTAGGACAAATCTAAGGTTCACATTGCCTTTGGTTTAGGTATCCAGAAGTTCCTCTTCTTGAAGGCATAACACAAACGGCTAAATTTTGGGAGTTGTTGGACTCAAGCTTGCAACCAACAGACTGCAAGGCATGCCCAGGAACTGTTTATGGCCTTGCTTATTACAAAGACGAGTAATTGATGGAGCATGTTCAAGCTGCTCATATAAATCCAGCCATCTGGATCATTATCGTGGGTATTTTTGGAGTCTATGAAATCAAATATCTCGTTAATTTTAACGAGGACAAAGAAGGGAGTTGGTCACCTCCTAGTGTACATGATAAGTCAAACTTTGAGAACAAAGTTTGTTCAAAAGGGGAATGTAATGTTATGTGTACATTTTTAATACCTTTTTTATGTAGTATTTGAGGTAATTATTAGGGAGTTATTTTAGTAAGTGAATTAGTGATAGAGTATTTTGTGGGTAGTTTTCTAAGTGGCTACTAAGATAGTGGAGTCATTGGTTAGGTTAATTATTAAAGTGATTTTTATTATATTGTATTTAAAAGTTTTTTTATTAATAAAATGGATATGTTGAATATTGTATTAATCTTTCTTATGAAGTTTTGGGTGGTTCTATTGGCAATGATGGCCTTTACAACTAAAGGACCATCATGAGGGTGTTAGAAACCTTCCAAATCTGAGTCCGAGAACATGATGTTCATGCTTAGCCGGGATGTTTTGGATACAGACTGTATTTTCAGATTATCTTTAACTCGGACTTTCCTCATGTGGGCCTTTCTGGCCTAGCTAGTCTTCCCGCCTCTGACAAATCCTCCGGAAAATAAATTAATTTAAGTACTAAATTAAACCAAATTATTTGATAACTACACAGAGCTAACGTTTTAAAATAAATTAATTTTAAGTTTTACCTTTTTATTCTTTAATTTTAAAATATTTATTATAAAATATGTGTGTAATTATATATATACTTTTTTTGTTGGACAAGACGAGGTAAGGAAAAAATAAAGCAAACAAATAAAAATTCTACCAGTTACCCGCTAATGAAGACAATGGTTCTGGTTATGAAACGGGTTTAATTAATAAGTGTCAAATACATACATTTTTTCCTCCAAAAATGATAACAAATTATAAAACAAAATTTATTGAAAACTGGATACAAAGCCACAATCTTTACAAGTGTTCTATTATTTGTACTAAAGACGTGTAAGAGCCGGTGATTCCAATCAAGAGGCCCATAACTACAATTCCACATATCAACACCAATTCAAATCCAAATTCTTGATAAGTACCAGAAATCTTCAAATAGCACATACACGGAAGCAAAATTGAACCTGTGACACTCAAAAGTGCTCCAACAAGTGTCATGAGAAGCCCAAAAAAGGGGATGGCCAACGCTACAACGACGCTGCTGATCACCATGGTGGTGCTGATCACAAAGCTCAACCATCTTCTATTGCAACAAGATCTCAATCGATTTTCAGCAGCATGGACAATTGGCATAACCATCAATGCATATTTTGAAATGGGATTCAGCAGGCTGGTGTAAATTGCCACTCTTGAGCTAATTTTCTCGGTTGGAAGGTTTAATGTTACTTGTGACTCTACCTCTGAACCAAACATTAGGTACCCAAAAACTGCCATTGATGCGTACGTAATGGTACACAACAGAAAGCATAGGAGCAAGACCTGCAATGACGAACATGGAGTCAAATTCAGTAATCCAATGGTCTAAAGAACTCGAGGTATGATTCGAAAACCTTGCTTTACCTTAGAGAAGAGTTTCGGATTTCTCATAGACGTGTATAGGGTGGGGAAAACCGGATGAGCACAATAACAAAACGCGTATAGGCTAACAGAGGTAGGTATTTCATTCCAATTCAGAAGCGTTCCATTTTCTTGAAATCCAATGCCATCAAACACGCCAGCCCACAAAATTGAACCGAGGATGAGGAAAGAAGCTAAAACTCCAGTGGCAGAGATATATGAGAGAAAGCTTATGCTGTTTAACCAAACAGTTGGGAGTATAATGAGGCTAACAATTAGAACAAAGCATTGTCTTCCACCAATTCTAAGCCCGAAAATTTCGAGAACTCCCACGTCTGGAAATAAGTTACACATATTATCCCCTTCTACAATTAGGAAACTTGTTGCTACCAAATAGAGTTCAGAATTCATGATAAAGGATACAAAAATTCTTCCTTTTGTACCAAATGCTCGTTCGCCGATATCAGGATAGCTTCTTATAGATGGATCTATATCCATACACCTTTGAATTAACAAGCCTGTGTAGAAGGATGTGCTGGCAATAATAAGAAGAAGTATCAAGCTTAACCACCCTCCTGATGCTAATGCATATGGTACCGATAATATTCCAACTCCTGAGAAATAATTGTTGAAACACATGAAAAACAATCAGGACTACGTTTAGCATTATACATCACCCAATAGCGATGTACTATTTGGGTTAACGGATAAGTTTTTTTTTTTTTTTAAATTATTATTATTATTACAACGACTAAATAGTAGATTTAAACTGGGCCTTCATCCTTCAGGGTAGGGTTGATTATATCAGATAGATATGTAAGTCTAAAGGAGATAAAATTGAGACTTGTAAAATACAGCACTTCAGATAGAGTATCACATCAAATCATGAATGATTAGGAGTAATAAGGCATAGCTGAGCAGTCACAAAATCACAAACAGATACACAATAAGTTCCTAACACACAATAAAACTAAACATAAAAGGAACAGAACAACGACGAAAAAGAAGAAGAAAAACCTGATAAAGCGTTGAGACCATTAAAACAGGTCTTGAAGAAGGAGGTTGTGCCTGTAATGGAGTGGCAACCTATTGAATCCACTCCCTCAGCTTCTTCCAAACTAAGCTCATGCTGCTTCTCATCATTGCCAAGCAGTAGCGGTATGGTTACAGAACACCCATCATGTGGTTTCGCTTCCATCGGAGATAGAAAAACACAGTCCCAATTGGTAGGCTAGGCGTTTGCAGGCAATCTTGTGTCTTTTATTTATAACGATGATTGTTTAGTTTTGTACTTTTTCACGTGGTCCCAACTTTTCCGTACTTAGATTAGATGGAACAGGAGATTATTGATAAGAAATATCAAATTATATTTTCTTGAGTTTAGTAGTTAGTTACCTTAGTTTGACCTGGGTTAAAGTATATCTCTGAAAAAAAAAAATCATGGCTAGGGAATCCTTAAAGAATATAAGAAGATATTGAACTTAAAGTTTATGAATTATCAAATGATAGATTCAATCATTAAATCACCCATAAAGATTGCCAGGAAAAACTTTTACCTCATGCATTTGTTATCATTCGACGTTTTTTTTTTTACTTTTATTCCATTATATCATAATTTCTATTCTATAGTATATCATTGTTTAAACCTATACTTTTAATATAAAAGAATGTGATGTATTTAAATGTATGATTTCCAAAACACGTTTTTAGATATGATTGAACGTTTAAACCCCACTTGTATTGTTTAAACATAAATTATGGCATTACGTAGAAGAGTAATGTAATACTCTTGTTCTTATTTAATGCGTTAAAATATTAAAAGACTTCTGACTTGACTTGGAATGCGCGCCATGTACTTCTTCATCTTCTTCTTCTTTATGAAAAAAAAAAACAATAAGATTTTATTGAGACTGGAGCAAATATATGAAAGAAATAGAGACGGTAAAAATTCATCCACTCTGTTGCAATAATTGGTGTGCATTGCACAGTGGCTAAACCATTGCTTTCACTGTTCTAGGTGGAAACGTTGTCATCTTCTTTAGTATTTCTGAATTCAATAAAGGGAATGTTATCTATAGAGTAGAGTGTAGACCAATGCATTTGGAAAATGGTGATGTGCGGCGGATGGAATAATGAATTAATTAAAGATACCTTTATGAGATGCGAACAAACAAACAATTAGTGGGTGTGGATTAAACGCAAAGATGACCTGTTAAGTGGAGTGTTTTGCTTTGCATACCTTTTGAGGGTTGGTGTCCCGCGCTTTTGTCGTTTACCTTTGACTGTTCAACTTTTTTAGTAAACTCTTCAATTTGTGTGGGTCCACTCCATAATTATAGCTATTATTATGGTAACGACCGTAATTTTCATTATAGAAAGGTGCTCCAACTTTAACCTCAATTTGAGTTTGCCTTTTTTAACTCTTCAACCTGTCTACTACTCATATTTGAAGGTGAAAATTAGGTTAAACAATTCAGGATAAATTTGGATTCAACTCAAATTTAGTTGTGGAATAACACAATTCTAACAAGAATTTAGGTTCGATTCAAACTGAACATAAATCGAACACGGGTTAGAACCCAAATTTGACTCTCGATTTCGGTATTCGGGCTAAAATTCAGATTTTATTTTAGATAGACACAAGTTGATCAAATTTTTATGTTCAATTTGCATGATAATTAAACTCTTCATTTGTATCCTAGTTGTAACTTTTCATTCTCTTTCTAAGGCTTAATGGTCAGAGGTGTTCGAGTCAATTTACGTACATCTCAATTAATTCTCTCTCTTGTTTGATTAAAAGCAGACCATTTACGTTGAGATTATGATATTCATGAGGAATAAATTCTTCATAACCTGACTTTAAAAGAGTTGTCAAAATTCGAACTATTTCCCTCTAACATAGGGAAGAACTAGCTGAGAATAAATAAGTCAATTCAGGAGCATGAAATGTCCAAAAGCCAACATATCGACAACCTCTTATCACTGCTAAGGGAGTCAGATTAATGTCAATTCTATTTACTATTAAGTCAAGCCTCCCGAAGGATGCAAAGTACAAACATGAAATACAAAAAAAAGTACACAAATCTAAATTTTGGAGTCCACACTGGATCAAAATGGGCAAGTGCCCCCACTAAAAATTGGAAAAAATTTGGGGCTAATTTAAAATTATAAGAAAAATAAAAATTTTCAATACTTGCCCCCACTGAATTTTTTTAAAGTTCATGAGACTTAATTTTACAATTCTTTCTTTACTCTCTAGCTATTTATCTTCATTCTACAACAACACATTAAGTTATCAAACTCATCCTCTTCTAAATTTGATTATCTAGATATGAATTGATATGTTTAATCGATTATCCAATTTTGAATATGTTATTATATTTCAAAATTTTAGATTTAGATATACCAAAATTTAACTTAATTGTGAATTTGTTTAATTTATAAAAACACAAGTACACATGTATATATACTAATTGATGTACACGTGCGTTACACATGAATTATTTTGGACGATAAATGAAATTACACTCTACAATTCCAATCTAAGGGACATCTTCAAATATCCAACTTGAATATAGTAAAAAATTATAACTCAAATCTCTAATATTGATTTACATTGCTTGCATTCTCTTACCAAAGAAATATAATCCCAAACAACACCCATTAATAAATTTGAATGACTTGAAGTCTCAACGTAAAATAATTAATAGCAATTTGAATGACTTGAAGTCTCAACTTAAAATAACGAATAGCATTGGACCTATCGGAAAAAGAATGAATTTGATGGCATAATCAAATCACATACTCACACTTAGCATAAAAATACAAGGTCCTTGTTGGTAGACTGATGGAACAAGATAATATTGTAATACACCCGATTGTTTAATACTAATAACACTGATCTATGCTCAAGGAACATCAACTTTCATTACTTTGATATAAAAAGTGTGTTCCCTAGCTAGAAACAATGTTACCAACATAGAATCTGTCTAAAATAGGAAAATATCACAAGTCCAACAAAAGGTAAATTGTTAGCCAATAGTACGATGCTTTGCTTGATGTGTAAGTCCCAATAGCATAACAATTCAATACTTACTCATTTAGCAGATACTATGGGGTGTGCCAATAATCAAAATTACACAACATTAGTCAAACTGCAAAAAAAAAAAAGGACCAGTCATTGCACATGTAATGAAGAGATATCATCCATCTCTAATCACAATCACAACGGTTATTGATCCTGAGTTAACATACAATTGTTGTCGTACAAGGTTTCGCTCACTTGTTTTGATGTCAGCAATATCTTTTCAGAAATTTAATACCTCAAGAACTTGCCTAGGACACAACTGCATAATCAGTTGAACAAACCAATGATACGCTTGAATGTGAAGGAATTAAATAATATACTCGAAACACAAGTTAATTAATTTTGTAAAATACAAGCTAATTCATTTTGTTTGAACTATTAATAGCTAATATCTACATTTCTCCAAAAATGCAAAATATAGAATCAACCTAACTAATAATTGTGTAATTTTCAAAAATTATGGATTTCGTTAAATTGAGAAAAAACACTTTAACCATCGGTAAAAATCTTTTCCTATGGAAGTACTAAGCATTTATCTGTAGATCAATAGAAGGACAGTATAATAGCCCAACAATGACAGTTTCATATCACAGACAACTAACTATGTATATATATATATATATATTTGTGTGTGACTTTCGACGAAAAAACTGAAATCTCTGCACTCATGTGTAAAGGATAAATACAATAGTTGATTCTGAAAGGGTCAATTTTGATAGTGAAATGTTGAAATTGTTGGGTATTAACAACTATGGAGATTTTTGTTTGAAAATCAATGAGAGAAGATCGTAGTCGTAATACGATTATTCGGGACGATAGGAGGCAGTGGAGAACTGAAAGGCTCAAACGGAGAAGGGGAATGGAGGGCTGTTAATGGACAATTTGTCAGTTCACAAGGGAGAGGGAGAGGGAGAGGGAGAGGGAGAGAGAGAGGGATGGAGTAACTAATGGAAATGGATGGTTTCCGTTGAGGTGCTGGGTAATTTTTGAAGAGAGAGAGAGAGAGTAATGATTGCGAAAAGGAGAGAGACTGAGAGGCAAAAAGACGGGTGAGAATAGTGAGCACATAGGGGAGAGAGAGACACACAAACAGCTGGAAAAGGAGAGAACGGAGATAGGTAATTAGGGCTTGTCAACCATTTAATATGATGGATATGAAGGACATAGTGACAATTTTAGAGTAAAGATAGAAAAAAAAAATGTTTTTCATGTATCATGATATTTTAAAGTAGTATAGAAAGATTTATTTTTAGATCAAATTTCTAATATTTAATGGATATGGATTGTAAAGACCAAAATAATTGGATAATTAGATCAAATTCAAAAATAGAGTTTTCAAATTAAACTTGGATTCGAATCACTTGAAATCTGATAATTGTCATGCCTATTTATAGTTTGATTACATAATGATTTGTCAAAATATGAAAATTATTCTAACACTAGTACATTTTATAAAATAACTTTTGCATAAATTTTATTAATTAAGTTCTATCTTTTTCCACGTACTTTCTGTGTGAAAGACTTTTAAAACAGCAAAGCAAAATATTAACATTAAGAATTATTTATAAAAAGTTTAAATGAAAAAACACTCATATTTACATGACATAATAAAGTTTGATGATTGTTCTTCAATCGTTTTCTTCAACTTAATAGTTGCCCCCATTTAAAATAGAGAATTGATCAGGATTGAATTTTGAATCCACAATGCAATGAAATTCAACCAAGAAATGATAAATATGTTTGATTCCTGTCCAATCCTCTATTTGTGTGGATAATGTCAAATTTGAACCCATGCACATGTCCAATTCAATGAAGATTGAAGGGACCATTATAGTTTTTTATGATATAGAGTAATCTAAATGTCATGTTTGAATGGGTAAAAATTACGATTAGTTTGAACATATTTTTGGAGTAATAATAAGAGTAAATTACATTTATAGTGCACAAATTATAATTTTTGTATCAATCAAGTCCCTGAACTTTTTTTTTTTTGTATCAATTGATCCCCTAAACTCACTAATCGTAGCAATTGAGTCTTTCTGTCTACATCCGTTGGATTTTCTAATAGAAAGTGACAAAATATGCCACTCACATAACACAAATGAGTTGCA